AATTTTATTTCTCATGTTTCACAGCTTATGAAAAACGTCCGGCCAACCGCAGACCGCTTTGAATTTTCTGACAGATCTGTCATATTATATGTCAGCGAGGTATTTAAAGTAATTAATTCGTTTGCTATCTTTACTTTTTAACAAATTTTTTATAGGTTAGCGAGGTCTTTAAAAACAACTTTTAAGTCTGCTAGCTGTGAGGTTTCTCCAAATATTTGTGGATGTTATTTGTTCAAGACAGTTTATACTTCGTTAAGTTGTGCAACAGATCAAAGTTCAGTTTCTTAAAGGTTTCTTTTTTATTACTTAAGTATAAAAGTATATTCGTCCTCTTTTGCGTTTGTCATAGATTTCTAGTATCGATGAATTTTGTGCCACATTTACTGTGAACAGAGTGTTTGATGTGGGAACAGTCCAACCAGTTCCTGTCAAAGTCTATGATTATTACAAACCGGGTGAGTAAAAAGAAAACGTATACAATACAAGAACTCAAGTGGGTATTGAAAATGTACACAGTTTAATGCGCCATATCTTGTTATAGTCACCCAAAGTGAGGCGATTATAACACTGAACACTAATTTTAAAAATGTCATTTCGGCCTTTTGATGCTTTCAAGGATGAAAAAAAAATTGATTAACGAAAATACCGTCTCTTGGACAATCACAAGATGAAATGTATTAAATTAGCCGTTTTCACCCACGAAAAATACCGTCAGTAGCGTTGGCTTTGGTCAGTGTTGTTTATGTAAGACGATATTTGTTGCAAAAATTCATTTATACATTTTCCTTGCATTGATTTGTGTTTTATAACAGATGAGTCCTGTACAGAATTATATTCACCCTCTACAAGAAGTGCATTACTGGGAGGCATTTGTGAAGAGGGCTATTGTAGATGCTCTCAAGGTATCGTCAACACAAAAAGACACCATTATTGTTATGGCATGATGTATCGTGTTTTTGTATTAGTTAAACCTTAAGCGGAGCACTGACTAAAACTAATAATAACATCCTTTTGCTGTATACTGCAATGCTACCCCTAGTGGCGGAGGTTCATCTATTTACTCATGAATTTTAAATTTGGAAGGAACTTCGCAAGCTGTAAAAGCTAGCTCTCTTTCTCAGAGCCAGAGCTTTCCCGCAGATCATGATAAAGGACTTAGCGCCACACGAAGAAGATGTAACTTTTTGTTCCGAATTACACTTCCTATTATTGGAAACTTGAATGAGGGTACTTATGTCAGTTTGTGGGAGAATCTCATGAATGCGATCCAGGACAAAGAAAGTCTGCATTAGAAACCTCACTTGGTCTTGTGGTCTGATCTTTGTTTTCTGATGTCACCAA